TTAATTTAATCTAAATTAATATTACAGTAGAAACTTTAAAAACTACTTTTAAAATCAATTAGAAATAAATATACAAAATTATGAAAGTTTATAGCTTCCTTGTTTTTTGTATTTAAAAAAAGTACCTATTCAACATATGAATAAAAAAGAAATCATAAAATTTTAGCCATTAAAATGAACAACTTTTTCTGAATTGAAAATCTGTAATATATTCCTTGCCAGGCACACATACATACATACAAATGTATATACCAGTTTATATGTGCATAACTATGCATATAAACCACTCTCCATGTATACGAATTCATATTGCGGATCTTTCGCTTGGCTTTTGACTTGATGGTATATTTGATGGGAGCACCCGCAGAATTATTGTCAAAATGCAAAAGAGAAGATCATTATTACATTTCACGCTTCCAGGCAGGGATCGTAAAACCGAAACCACAAACCAGTCGAAACGTCAGCGGCGCAGTCGACATCGTTGACGTTGACGTCGACGTCGACGGTAACTGCGATAGCGTACCAAATTAATGGAACCACCGCGCAGGGCTGGAGCACTATGGGCAAAGAGGCGGCGGTGTTCACGACGCAGTTGTGGCAACGGGAACGGGAACGTGAACGGGAACGGGGCCCTGCCACAAGCCCAGGTAAGAAGTGGGACCAACAGAACCCAAAACCAAAGCCGCGTTGTGGGAGAAAGAATAAAACTAACAATGAACAGCGAACTGCGACTCCCATTGGAATGATGGCAGCAGCGTGCAATCCAGGCACGTTTGCATATGTGTATGTGTGCGAGTGGAAGTGTATAAAAGTGGATGTCTGTTTGTGTGTGTGGTTGTGTTTGTGTTTGGTATTTCGGTTTTGGCCCGCTTGTCTGTACCTTTGCACCGACGCCACCGTCGCGGCTTTATTGCSCTCTTTGTCTACCAGCCAGCTCTGCTCTGCTCTATTCTGTTCTGTTCGACTAAGAGCAAGAAGTCATCAAGTCTCAGTGCCGCACGATCGCAAGCACGCACACAAATAAACACAAACACATGTACGCACACACTCACAGCTATTGCACACGATCACGAAATGCGCAAATAGCTGTTCGGCTTTTGGGAATGGGTACGGGTTCGGGCTGGATTTAGGTTCGGGTTCGGTTTCGGATTCGGAWTTGGTTTCGGGTTAGTTCTTGTATTTTCTTTTCTGCTGCCATAGTCACACGTACGTACATATAAACATACTTATATGTATATACATTAGTATTTGTATTCTTAGCTGCTTTCGTTGAGCATTCATTCATGTTCATACACAGACATATGTATGTAGAGAACTCTCTCTCTCTCTCATACATACACACGTATGTGCACATATGAATCGGCCTTTTGGGCCCGACCGCCAATTTCCTTTTTAAGCTAACAATCTGGCCTTCTTCACG